AGACATAAGTCTACCAGTGCATGAACAAAGCAGGAGGTTTTTGAAGATGCTGCACGTTCGAATGAAGTAGGTAGCATCATGGGCTCATGGAAGATGCCATCATGGGGTGCGAATGGTCTACAAAAATACCTAAACACCTGCATCCTCCCCAGACTGTTCAGAAATCATCTGCTAGGTTTTATCAGAACACTAAAGAAGCTGAAGCAACAGTCACTAACCTTCAAACCTCTCATTTAAATGGAGAAACGTACTGGAAAGGCTGTGTAATTCCATATCTAGCTTTATAATAGAAACACCCACATTCACTTGAGACCAGTGGTACTTGCTTGTCTGAAGTCTTCAGATTTCTTATGCATGCTGTGACATTTCCCTTCCAGTTAATGGCATTAATCCTACACTGGGATTGCCTTGGCTTGTTGCTGGGACGCTCTTCTGCCCAGCCTTTCGCTACAGTTGAACAAATGAATACTTTGTGGTATGCAAAACTTGCCATTTGGGTATTAGATTTGCTATGTGCTTTTTTCTTAAATCCCGACACCAGTTTTCTCTCTCTTCCTCTCTTTTTGTGGGTTACTTTCTGTGTAGCACAAGCCCATCTGCATTTAGTCGGATGAGCAGGAACTGTGGGCATGCAACAGTACATGATCCCTTCTATTACATAATTAAATTGCCATAATGTATATGCCTTAGGAGTATGTCTGAACAAGTTGCTATGAATCATACATTTTTCAGCCTGAAACTGCCCTATTTAGCTTTTGTTAATCATTTCACTGTTCCTACATTTTGAAGGAAAGCTTCCCTTTGCTTCAACTCCAAAGGCAAAAAGATGGGCAGGGTGAAAATGTTTCTATCTCAGTTATTCTAGTGAAATATGAACATAAGGTAAATTACATCACGTGCAGTTGAGATCAGAATCTGGCGCAGTGTCTCTGTTGCCCATGATAGGAAGTTTCTTCAGTCCCAACCTAGTGAACCATCAACAAGCAAGTAGGTGGCTAATTGTTGTAGTTCAACATCTCCAGTGTTTTTTGGGAACAGATCTGCAGGGTGAGTAGATGTTTTTAAAAAATTGGTTCTTAAATCTGTTGTTTTCTTCTTCTACCAGTTACCACTTGATCAAAATAAAATTAAAACAAAACAAACAAAAAAGTCCTGTTCTGAACAAATCCCTCCTTGTCTTCAGCAGGATCTTGCTCTGAGCAAAATCCACCTTGCCTTTATCAGGAGTTCTGTCTGACTGGAGAATGAGGATCCTGCCAAAAACATGGCAGAGATTTGGCTAGAATGAAATGTGAGGAGTCAGTGGTAAAGGTAAAAAAGGGCCAACGTCTGCATATTTAGTCTGTGTAAAACTTTGTCTTCACTGGAGTTAATTTAGCTTTTACATGCAGCTCAGGGCAGAGCTTGGTGCTCGAGTGCCTGAGGTTTTCCAGTCTGGTTCAAGTTTACAGCAAGTGGATGGGGCAGCTGAATTGCTATGGCTGTAGAGCAGGAGCGTGCATGAGTCAGAAGTGACACATACCACTCAACTAAAGAAACCCACCCGGTTAAGACGGCCCCTACCAGAGCATTTGGGAAAGCAGGGGTCTGGTGGGTTTGTGTGCTGCTCTGCCCCGTCACCAGCACCAGCCTCAGGGAGGGTCTCATGTCTGGATCACCAGCCAGTAGATCACTTGTTGGGATTGCCTACCCTGTGGGTCACGCTGGTTCTCCCCACAAAAGTCAGTATCAAGAGGCAATGCGTGTTTCAGACTGGACACTGACTTTTCTGTAGATTTTGGTGATTCATGCTCCTTGCTTTGTTTCTGCGCCATTTCTGCTATGTCAACAACGGCAGTTGTATCTAAGGGACGTCTTATTATCATACTGAATTTTATGCTGAATGAGTAATTGAACCTCTGCAACATGTTTTAGAGTCAGGCTTGCAATATCTCTGGTGTAGTGGAGGGACAGAATGCCATACAAAGGAAACACAGAGTGCAGTCCTGCTCTGCAGAGTGACAAGGTAGTGAATGCACGTATTTTGATGAGAATTTAATGTTCTGTGTCTTGCAAGATGTACTTGTGGCACTGCCTGCATGGGTTCAGCCTCTTTTTCCACATTGCAGCATGGAGACTGCATGGAATGAATAGCAAATGCCATGTTATTCCTCCTGGTTTCACAAAGCAGAAAAAAGTAGCAGTTTGGAAGGGGAGGGGAGTCTTTGTCATGCAGATTGAAGTGCTTGCATTCATACAGGCAGAGACCTTGTTGGCACAGTCTGCATCTTTCTGCAGCTTTTCTTCTTCGACTAGAAGATTCACCAATTATTTCTATTCCCTTCTTAGTATAGGTGTCTAGCATGAGCTTACATTTCATTCAGAGACTACATGAACTGCACAATGGTTCTAGATATAAATTATTTACTTGAGAGCACAATTAGCAAAATATAGGTGATGTGAAAAGAGAGATCACCCTTTGCTCTCAGTGGTTATGACAATATTTTCCTGTTGCACAGCACACAGTTGTGATCCCAGGGTTGTAAATGTACAAAACCTTGTAAATGTACAAATGTAATGTCCTGACTTTTAGACTGTTTTTATTGGATAACAAAAATATAAAATATTACTACATTGCATAGTGTCCTCAAGCTGTATGCCTGCATGTAAAATACTAATGGCAATAAAGCAGGCTTCTACCTGTCCTGAGATAGTTAATGAAAGGAAATCCTTGCTGGAAGCTGGTGATGGGAATGGCGTTCTCCAACTACACAGAAGTAAATGTGGCCTGCGTCTTGCCTCACAGGGATTTACCATTTTAACATAGCTGTTTGGACATACCTGCTGCAAGATATCCTGATACTTGTTGACTTCAGCTAAAGCTGAGAGTGCTCATCACTTCTGAAGCCATCAATTTCTGAGGAGCAAAATTTCAGATGCAGTCAAGAATCCTAAAGGATTCATACCTCAAGGATGCTAATTACTACAGAAAATCTGGCAGATTATAAACATGTAGTGGGGTCATAGTGACACAAGCAGGAGGACAACCCTGGTGGTCAGTCCTATTTTCCTGTTCCACTCTCAGCTTGTGCACCAGCTCTGTTGCTCTGTCTCCCACTGCAATAGTGATTGCTTAGGCATTCACTCCATACAGTGGTGTCCCTTGAGAGCTGTAACACATGCAAAACCAGGGGGATTGTTATTTCTTCTGTACAGCTTTTCAAGTTATTTTAAAAACAAGTCTTTGGTGTAATTCCAATGCATACAAAATCATACAAACTACTATAATAAAACGGACCCTGTGATTCAGCACCTTTGTTTTGATTCTCACTGTAAGCTTTTCACCCTGATAGCCCAGATACTAGCTTTCTGGATGTTGCCTAAACTACATTTTCTTAGGATATTCATTAATTCCCATCTCATACTAAACACTGTGAGTTACCCCTCAGTTTAGAGCACGAAGTACTGGGCAAAGAAGTCATGCTTTACTTTTGCAGAGATGAAGAACCACTCTATATTGTCACATTTATTTTTTACAGTGTAAAACTACATAACTCTTTTTAGAGGAGGATGCTTCTTCATTTATCTGGATCTTTACAGCTTGTGACCAGTTCAGGGAAGGAATAAATGAGATGGAACTACAGGAACTAAGAGCCATGATTTTGCCTACTGTGCATTTTTTTCCAGAGCATTGAATTGCTCACTGAAAAGGATTTGAACAAGACGTGCGGGTAGGTGCAGCTGAAAAACTATGGCACCAGTTTAAGTGCCGTATCCTGAAGTCAGGTATTTACCCTCAAAGCAGAAGCACGTGGCTTCGGTAGTCTGCAACAGGAGAGCAACCAATCAACCAGCCAGCCAAGGAGCCCAGTGCTAGAAAACCAGTCTGGATCAGTGTCAGCTGAAGTCAAAATAATACTCATGCCAAAGGCATTTGTAGGCAACATTTTATTTCAGTCAAATGTTTCTTCAATTATTCCAAAGCATGTCTTTCTATTTTTATCAGTACTGATCAACCAAAACAAATCAGTTTGTGTGTTTCATTAAAGATCTTCCCATTGAATTGAATTGGTTTTCAGCGAGAGTCCAATTTTTAGCTCCCAGGACAGCTAAAACACCTGCCTTGTAGCAGATAATGGCTCCTTTTGCTTAATACGCATAGATGTCCTGCAATGCAACAGGATAAGGATTTGTGGGAACTTATCTTGTAGATGTAAGTAACAGTTCTTTTACTGGCTCTTTGTGTCTTTTTGAAAATAACATAAAGAAAAGGAAGTGAAGAAAACATTATTTCTTATTAAGGGTGGGGAACCTAACCCAATCCTGTGAAATGCAGAGCTTTTCCTTCTGTATTGGGTGAACTTTGGACTAAGTGCCAGACTATTTGCTGCAAAATGCAGCATTTTGTGAAGGCATCCCTGATGCCATGGCTTGATTTGGTGCTGGAACTGCCTTACAGGTCAATACTCCAAACTGTTCTGTCAACAACCTCTCTGTCGAGAAGGATCACGATCCTGTTGCCATTTGCATTTCCAGGCTGTAGCTGGGAACTGCTGAGTTGAGTCGAGAGACTCAATAGTGGATAACAGTGGAGAGAATGGTACCCACAGCGTGATGGTGAGGAGGGCTGGGGCAGCACTGGAGCCCCACTATTGCTCCAGGGCTGCCACCCTAAGAATGCAGCATCCTCCTCAGGCATTACACAGCAGGTCTGAGAACTAAATAAATGGACAGTTATTCAGTTTCATGTAGTTTCAAGGCATACCCTTTCAGGCAGATTTTTAATAACCAAATTTGCTTACTTGCAACTTGCAAGCCACAAACAGTCTTTAAAAACAATACAAATTTTATGCTGCTGAAGGCAGCCCTAATGACTGAAGTTATTGCTCCTGCTTCAGGGAATGATGAGCAAAAACCTTCCCTGCACACTGCTGGCAGCCTGCCTCATTTCTGGCCAGCAGGACCACTGCTTTTGAAGTATGAGACTGAGCTACTTGGAAAGAGTATAGGACTCCGCAGAGTCTCATCTCACCCCAGGTTTATTGCACAGGCAGTGGACTGGAAAGATTGTTAACACTGACTGAATGTGCTGTGATTGGTGTGGCTCATCTGCAGGCTCTGAGGCGTGTTTGCACCAAGCTGGGATTTTCAGGTCCTTGCTATGCAATGTGCTACCCTTTCCAAAGTGAAGCTTGTTACCTAGAAAAGGTAATTTATTAAACTTCAAGAGGACTGTGGATTAGACGGAAGAAAGGCTTTCACTATGAGATCATGAACATTCTCCTAAGGCCCATTCAGTCCATAACAGGTTGTTTCCTACACACTTTTTACTTAAAAGCAAGAAATAGATCTACAGCTTTATCCTACTCTGAAGAACAGACCCTAAAAAAGGCTTGCAACTAGTCATGAACTACCACAGTAATGCCAGGCCCACAGGAACGAGACCAGCTGGTCCTGGCTCTGCTCCGACACTGGGACTTGTGGTGAAATGTGTCCAAGAGCAAAAATGGATCACCTATAGGCTGCAAATCTGGGAGTTTCTTGACAGTAAATGATGGAGTAAATCCCCAGAGAGACACTTATATGTGGTCTGACCTTCAGGAGGGACTCATAAAGCATTAATAAATTCTCTGTGCAGCTTTTCTAAAGGGCTATGGTCTTCTCTACAGTGGCACAAAGCCCTTCCCTCTGCAGCTTCCCCCATTGGTTCCTGTGCTCCAGCTGGGGCTGTGGGCTGGTGACTCGCTTTTCTAGCGTTTCGGTTATTTTATCTGCTCAATGAACAAGAGATGTCTGCCTCTCCCTCCTTATCAGAGACCATGAAATGCACATGAGTATGGAGAGCTGGACTTGGAGTGCCAGACAGCTGGTCTGTAAGCAGGGAGCCCTCCTATACCTACCCTGGAAGAGACAGCCAAGGAAGGCAGAACACGTACGAGTCTGCATGATGATACTCAAGGGGCTGAATTCCCTCGATGTCTGTGTTTCAGGATGACTGGCAGTGGTATCTAAAGAGATGCAAACTGTGATTATATCTTGTGCCTGACACTGCAGAATAATGTCCATGTACAAAATGAAAAGCAAAGACAACCTTTCTTGAGACTATCTAGTTGTAATTATCTTTGGAAAAGCAGAAAGGGATGAAAAATCGTGTTGTTGTTTTTTTCTTTCATGGATGTCCTCCACTGAAGGACATTATCACAAGAGTGGTTTGGCAGTGGAGGTGAATTGAAGCTGAAAGACTAGATGCTCAGGTGGTGTAAAATGACTTTAGCTTCATGGAAATCAATGGAACTTCATTGCTTTACCATTTACGATCTAATTCATAAGCCCTGAGACCTTGTCTGGTATTTCTAACTGCTGCAATCACTTCTTCTCCTAAATAAAATCTTCAGAGTGTTATAAAAGAACTTTCACTAGGTTAAACAGACAGAAAATTAAATCCTCGTGAACTAACAGATTTAACACTCTGACTTATCTTAATTCAGTCCTTGGGCAGTTGGCTTTGGGAAAATGTTACGACATGAAACTGGGGGAGAGGATTTTAAACAGAAGTCCAGCTGGATCACATAATCAGACCCTTCTTACTTAAAAAAAAACCCCCAAACAACAGAACCCCACCACTTTTGGTTTTAAAAGTAATTATGTGATACAAACTCTTCTCATTTGCTGATATCTCAGAGCCAGCCCTGAGATAAAGGCTTACCTAGTGCATTGGATTTTTTCCCAGACCATGTCTGTCACATCCCATCAGTGCCTGAGGTGCTTCCAGTCCCCTTCCCTGCCTGGTTCAGCTGTAGTTGGTGGCTGAGGGGAGCGGAGGTAGAAGGCCTCAAAGCCTGGTAGTGTGTGCCGTATGTGTCACTGGCCCCTTGCCCAACGACCATGACATCTTCTCCCATGGTCCCATTATCACAGAATTTGGTGCACCTGTAGGTTATTCCTCTGTCTTGTGTTTGCTTGATGTCACCTGTTTTTTACTCAGTATCTCAGGTGTGGTTAGATAGGCTGTGACAGTCCTCAGTGCTGCCTTTCTTGTGGGTGAGAGATCCCATCACACAGAGCAGTCCAGTCTCATACTCTGTGTTATTGCTCTAAGCACTGTACTGCTGTAAGCTTGGTTGTCTCGTCACCTTACCCTCAGACGATACTTGCCTTCAGCAAACCTTGGCTGGGGTAGGATGCTCTGCAAGGCCACCACTTTCAAATGCACTTAGAAAAAATGTAACAGAAAGAGATTAATAGATTTCATACCCCTATTTTTCCTGAGAATCTAGTATACAAAACTGGACCTGAGGGTCTCAGCATACCCTGCAGAGTTTGGAGTGGATGTATTAACACAAATAGCATTTGCACGACTGCAGAGAGCCACTTTTGGACCAGGTGACCCCCAGAGACCCCTTTCAACCCCAACTGTTCCGTGAACCTGCACTGAGTCTGGTGCTATAAAGTTGCAGAAATGCAGTCACAACCTCCATGTAGCAGAGATCTTGATCCTCCATTGGGGTAAATGAAGTGGCTGTGCTGAGGAGGGGGCACAGTCTCTGCTGCAGGTAGACTCCCAGCCTGTGCTGCATGGAAAGCCAGCACCTACCCTGCCTTGCACAGAGATACGGTTTCCCTTTCCCCCCTCTCTAGTCTGAGATGAGCAGGACTGGTTTCCCTCCCCTGCATATGGATGACATCATTTCAATCACCATGACATCACCTTCCAGAGGAGCCACTGACGTGGAGGGGCAGGAGGAGCAAGGCTTGCTCATGCCGTACCTGCCCAAGCAGGTTTGCTGCTGGCAGCTCTTGGGAGCGCTGACACAGAGCGAAAACGTCAGCAGCCTCATAACTATTTGATAGAGCAGCTTCTAAACCTCACCATCCTGAAAGCAAAGATCAGAAAGGAAAGGAATCCACCAGCAGGTGAGACAATAAGGTGGGAGCAAGCTGAATCTGAGCACTGTCAGACTTATTTCTGGGTATTTTTAATTGATGACTGAGTAAATAAATAAATAAGGAAGATTTCATGTAATTGCTGTCCAATATTCAAAATGCCCTTGGCTCTGGGCCTGGGAAACCATCTGTCTTATACCTAGCAGGAGTTTGCACCTAAGTAATCTTTTTCTCTTTTTTCTTCTTCTGTCTGCTTGTAGTATGAGTTATTCCTTACCCTGGATTTCCCCTCTCTCTGCCTCTTGTGAGGCTGAGCCAGTCGCATATGTTGGGTTTCAGCAGGCAGCAGGCTGCCTGCCCAGGTAGCAGATTTAATGAAAATTCTCTTTTCCCATCCAATAAAGCAGTTATCATCCCGTGTGTGCGCAGGAAAGGCTGCAGTGTTCTCCCAGGCCAAGAGCTGCCTCATCAGTGACAGAACCCTGGCCAAAGGCTGCAGGGACAGCAGTTCATCCTCTCCTGCCTGGACCCTGAGGATTTACTGTGCTTGCTGACATCTTTATGAATGTCTGCTTTCTACCTCAAGTAGTCACACAGAAGGAGTCAAGCTATTACAGCTGAACTGTAAACTGCACCTATGTATATATTTGTGTACAACTAGAAACACCACAACCATCACTTTTTTTTCTTCCTCAGGAATTTAAGAGGTGAGGCTCAAAATTCATTGCATTGAGTTGATCGATTTTAGCATGCTGGGTTTGTACATTATTCATCTTCCTTTGGTTTTAAGATAGAAGACCAGGAGTTGCTCTAAAAAGGAGATGTCTGTGGCACCAGGGTAGGCCTTACCACAATGAAGTGTTCCTTGCTGGAAGAGGAGGAATTACCTCCCTCTTTGTGGGTGCTCTGGGACAAGGAGAAAACTGGAGCAAGTGTGTGGGCTGAAAGTCACAAGTCAGTAATGATTAAAAAGGAAGGTGTGAGGGTTTTGTTTATTTTTAATGTCATTAGTTGTGAAGACAAATGGTTAGCAGTAATTGAAGCCTGTGTACGCTCTGTTTGCAGGCACGTGGCAGTAGGAGACTGCTCAGGACATAAGAGTGGTGGCATTCCCTGTGGTAGCCTGACGCAAAGTGACTCCAAAGTGAGCATTGTCCAGCTCAGTCCCACTACAGCATTTCTGATTCTTTTAGCTCAGTTAAAAACATTACATACTGGAGACACAGTCCCGCATAGTCCAGTCTAGCCATAGTGAAGCTCAGCCAGCTGGCTCATAAAACTGCATTCAGAGGTCAGAAAGACTCATCAGACATAAGTTAAGGGTATGAGAAGGCCAAAGCAGAAGAGAAGGAAACTAAGCAATGAAATTCTGAACACTGCAAGAATGCTTTCTACTTTCTACCAGGCCTTCAAATAGGACAAAAATGCTGTGGTACCAGCAGGAGGAACCTCTGGAGAGCAATGAACCCAAGCCCTGCTCAGGCAGGGTCACCCAGAGCAGATCACACAGGATCCAGCTGGGTTCTGAGTAACTCTTAGGACAGATACTCCACAAGCCCTCTGGGCAATTTGTTCCAGTGTTCAACCACTCTTGCACTAAAAAAAAGTGATTTCCTTATGTTTAAGCAGAATTTTCTGTTTTTCCATTTGTGGCCATTGTCTCTGGTTCTGTCACTGGGCACCACTGGGAAGAGCCCAGCTCCGTCCTCTTTACTCTTTCTCCATCATCAGGTATTTAAACACATTGGTAAGATTGGTAAGATCCCACTGAGCCTTCTCTTCTCCAGGCTGAACAGCCCACCTCCCTCAGCCTCTCCTCATGTGACACATGCTCCAGCCCTTCATCACCTTTGTGGCCCTCACTGGGCTTGCTCCAGTATGTTCACATCTTCCTTGCACTGCGGAGACCCTCAGCTTCCAGGTTCTATTAACAGCAGCCTGTTTTTTTGCCTCACAAATCCTCTACATGCTGTCAAATAATAGAATGACTGTTGCTCAGCACAGTAATTTTTGAAGGAAATTATTTCACAGGCAAGGCCATTTTAGGCTTAAATTTAACTTCTGCATGCAAGGGGAAAGGTGTCTGGGTAATGGCAGCCCTGGGATACGCAGGTTCACATAGATACTTTATGTTGACTGCACATCTGTATGCAAATAACCAAAGAATTAATAATGTGTGCAAGGGAATGGAAGTCATTTGGAAACCTGTATAATTCTGGAGCATAGAGCAGAGAATGTTTTTTCTCTGGCCACGTGCTTCATCACACGAGCCCATTTTAGGTACCCTCAAATAGACTTTGATCTTTTACAAATGTACTTGGTATTAAAATTATTTGGCCAGTGGTTAAGTAAATACATTTCCTCCTAGAATTTGCTCATGTTCCTCAAGATAATCCATTGTTCATGCTGCAGGAAAAGTCACCCAGCTCATACAACGTAATTTTTGCTTTCTGAGCATCTGACTGCCAATTCATTCATGCATTTCAGTTTGGCCAAGCAGCAATTTCCTCCAAGCCATATGATCAATGTCTGTCTCCAGAAGTATGATGCTTTTCTTACATATGTATTAGCAAAAAGTTAGTTTGTAGAAACACTAATCAAAAGTGAACAAAGTGTTTTGTGTATCATCTAAGCACCACAACGTAGAAATGAGAGATGATGTAAGCATTATATACTTGTCAAAACTGTATGAGCTGTCTTTTATTGCCAAACAAAGCATGAGTGGCAGTGTGGCTCAGCTCGAGCAGGACAATCCCAGAGCTCTTGCATAGCAGAGCCACAGCACGGCTGTGCTGTCTGTTGAACACCACCACAGCTCTTTCATCAGGCTCAACAATCTGATCAAAGACAGTCTTTTCAATGGCCCCTTATAACAACACAGATAGAGTGACTTTAATATTTATTCCAGCCACTTTTTTCCAGTACAGAAGGTCGACAATGTCTGTACCTAGCAAGACTATCTGAATTTAAAGACTAGCCTCAAGGCATTTGTGAATTTATGTGTACAGAGGAGAAGGCTTATTCCTGAAAAATATCACTGTTACAATACAGAAGAACAGCACTAAAATGTAGTCATCTCCAAAGGAAAAAGGATAGTGTTTCTCTGTGCTCAGGGTAAGGGAGGAGGAAAGCACTCATCCCCACTTCATTCTATTATCTGCAATAAGCAATTCAGTATTTCTGTGGTCAAAGGTGTGCTGTGAAATCTCTTATGTGAAAATCTGTAACTCCTCATTTCCACCTTTGTGATAGAAAGAAGAATTCAACTGACTTCAGTTTTCCTCTTCTTTAAAATTAAGACATGATTGTACTATGTCAGTTAAAGACTTAAGGAATCATAGAATAAAATCATAGAATAGTTTGGGTTGGAAGGGGCCTTCAAAGCTCATCTAGTCCAAGCCCCCTGCAATGAGCAAGGACATCTTCAGCTAGGTCAGGTTGCCCAGAACCACATCCAGCCTGACCTTGAATGTCTCCAGGGATGGGGCATCCACCACCTCTCTTGGCAACCTGTGCCAGTGTTTCACCACCCTCATCATAAAAATCTTCTTCCTCACATCCAGCCTGAATCTCTCCTCTTCCAGTTAAGAACCATTATCCCTCCTCCTGTCGCAACAGGACCAGCTGAAAAGTCTGTCCCTATCTTTCTTACAGGCCTCTTTTAGGTACTGAAAGGCCACAATAAGGTCTGCCTGCAGTTTTCTCTTTTCCAGGCTGACCATGACTGCCTCAGCCGTTCCCAACAGGAGAGCTGTTCCATCCCTTTGATCATTTTTGTGACCTCCTCTGGACCCTCTCCACAAGGTCCATGTCTTTCCTGTACTGAGGACTTCAGAGCTGAACACAGTATTCCAGGTGGAGTCTCACCAGAGCAGAGCAGAGGGGCAGAATCACCTCCCTTGACCTGCTAGACTTGATCTTTTGCAAATGTATT